TTAGATTGATACTTTATTAATCACATATAGTTTAGTGGGCCAAAATAAAACTAGGTCGAAGATTTTTTTTCTAAATCTTCTTTCCGAAACTTCAAAGTTTCGGAAAGAAGATATTAAAAAAAATCGCTGACTATTCCTTACTTCTTTTACTTTTAAAGCTCTCCGCCTTGATATTGATATTCTCCAAAGCTCAGGAGAGCTGTCGGTGTTGTAAACTACACCGACAGCGCTCGACACGCACATTAACCTGTGGCTCTTTCCACGTGCAAAACTTTTTACCCTACTCCTGTCGACTTTAGCCCAATGATGCTCTAAGTTTGAAGGCTCCGTAAAAACCACCGGCACTCCATGACGTTGCGATACTTTCTTGAGGTTGTGCGAGACCTTATGCACATAAGGTAAAACCATAGGTCTCCTTTTTGACCTTTCCCTGGCAACCTTACACGGGGCACGAATCCCTCCTACCAGGCTTTCGCCACACCGGTCAGCAAGCCAACTGGGTAGCCACCGTCCTGAAGCCGAGCAGCTTGATTAGCAAAACTACTAGACACACGGTGTGGGAATCACTAAACCAGTTCCTCCTGAAGGAACAGGTTTGTGTTAGTGATGGAAAACAATCAAAACGGGGAGGTGGTTTTATTCTCATGCTATTCGAGGTACAAATAATGAGCGAAATATTGTTGTTAATAAACTTAGGACTCTACCTTTATGCTAATTCTGAACAAGGGATAAAGTGTAAAAGGGTCGCTTAAATGTGGTCGCTTAAGATGGGATTATGAAAATAAATGATGTCGAATAAACATAAATGATTAACATTTCTCCGAGGAAAGAGAGATTCTGTTAATAATATTTTTGTCCTAAAGCGAAACTATCTGCCTCGGCTCCAGCGCTTTTGGCCGCAGTACTTCTAATGTTGGCTTTTCGCTGAGTTGCCGCTACGCTCTGTGCGTGACCAGCATTTTGATCTGCCGGTTGGTATTCAAAAGCCACGCATATGCCACAGCTGAGAGGGTGCCGTAATATCTATTCCTCCGACATCCTAATGATTCCTGCCTAAGAACCTTTGTAGGTTAACCTTTCGCCTGTGAGAAACGGCACCCACTCGTTTCGAACACCTTCAATGCGTACTTTCCGGAAATGCACGCGCAATACCAATTTTTTTCTGCTTCCTTTAAATAGTTTTTACAATGAGAAGAGCGGTTGCCGTAATGCTCAAATGACCATGCGGCCTTAATCTTACAAAGGGCTGACGTCTTCATTGCGCATGCAAATTCGTGACCTTTAAAGCCGCAGTTTCACCGCTCGTGCATTATGCGAAGGACGGGGTGTTTGCTGCCGACGTGATAACATAATTATCCTGCGGACACGTACGCCTCATGCATGTTAAAAGCATGTTTGCTTCGTACCTTTGTATGCCTCGAACGTGTGTGCAGACGGTTTTGGTAGGACGAATGTGACAGGGCCGACGTACAATGAAGAAGCGCACCTGAGACAATGCATGCAGACTGTCATTGTACGATGTATTTGCAGTACGACCGCGAGTTAAAGGCCGACAACCAGACTCTATATTCTGCAAGGCAGAAGATCCTCCTCACAATGGGCGGAAACAGGCAACGGTGGACAGCGTAGAAGAAGGAAAAGTGGATAGTGCGAACTGATCGTCGTCGGTCTTTAAGGAGAATGGTATCAATCGGCATCACACCCGTACTTTTCCCGTATTCGACGAGAATTCGAAGCTCTCGGCCGTACACCCGGCCCGAGCACTGGCCGCCCGTGCACACTCACAGAAGAACACCCCCCAGAATGGCGAAAGCCCGTTTGGCGCCACTGCACTAAATCTTTTTTTTTTTTTTTTTTTTTTTTTTTTTTTTTTGCAATTCCGAAAGGATTCAAAAAAGGAAAAAGGGTTTTGCGTAGTTTCCCGTTTCGTGCGGCGTTGTATCGGAATTCATGTCTTTCCTCTTGGTTTCCCAAACGAGCCAAAACCGGGCACTGGCTACCTTGGCAATCCGCAGTAGCCGACGTCCTCTTTTACGCTCGGAACAAATAAGAAACACAAAACGAACGAAAAACAGCCCAGAAATCTGTACAAAAGAAAAGAAAAGAAAGAAAGCAACGAAAAAATATCGTTACAACCGTGCTAGATTTACTTTTTTTTTTTTTCGACCGCAGTGGCGCAGTGTCATTAAGGGGCTGGACGAGGCGAAGGGGTGGGGGGGTTCAGGGTCAGGAAAGCAGCACCTCTTGGTTTCCCCCCGTAATTATCCCGCTTTATAACAACGGATACTCCTTTTCGCTTCGATTTTCGGCGTCTCCCAAAAGGCCGAGGCCTACGCAGCTCACCCTCTTGAGGCTTTCCCTTTTCGCCTGTTTACACCTTTCTCGTTTCCGCAATTTGCCGCTGCCTATCTTGTTGTCTTTTTCCCGAGTGGTGTAAGTCTGTGGCTACCGTCTCAATTATAGGTTAGGTTTGTTTTTGTTGTATTTTATTTTGTATTTTTGCTTCCCTTACCGTTACTTGATCGAGGCTGTAGCGTCTGTTTTAAGTTGACTTTCCTTGTGCCGATCGAAGTTGTGCCTAATTTGACCTTCCGATTTAGAGGTGATGGTTGTATTTGTGTTTTTGTTTTGCTTCCATGCGGTCTGTCTGGTTTTGGCCCGCAGTTTTTCTGATTGGGAGCTCTATGGAGACTTTTCCCGGGATTTGTTTTGCCCGACGAAATTGCCTTCGTGTGCGGAAATAAAGTGGCTGAAGGCGGATGTTCTTATTCCCCAGGAAATTAAAGGCCCGGATTAGCTGAAACCGCGATGGCGAGGTCTGTTTTGCGGTTTTGATTCGATTTCTATTTGTTTTTGTTTTTTCTTCCGGAAAACGAATAGGACTCACGAACAAAGTAACTCGCTCCTGCGCTCTCCGCGCACTGTTTAGGAATAGCTTTTAGACGGTTTCAGTTTTAGGCCGGGAAATTATTTAGTAATGTCGTACGACCATCACGGAAAGTCACACTAAAGTGTAGAAAAAACATGTGGAGGAGTGTTAAAAATAAAACGACACGATGGCGGAAAGTTGATTCGATTTTTAACGGTTCGTATTGCTTGCGCATCGTCGACGGCACACTACATACAGCCCGTCGCACGACCTTGTTTTGCTTTGCAGTGTATATATCGTCATTGGTATGTATGTAGGTTTCTTTAAGGCCACAGAACGTGTTGCGGATGATGTTTTCGACCTCCAATCAAGATCCAATGGAAGCCGAATCGAACTTTTTTCTGATATTTCGAATTGAATAGGATTTATTCAGAATGAGGTTCTTCAGATATCAGGGTGGGAAAATCGTCGATATATTTCTATTCCCATATGTTTAATTCGTTCAATCGAAATCATAAGACTTGCCCTTATACTTCAGTGCAAACCAATACTCCCGTTTCTCGGCCGCCTGTAAAGCCTTCGGTACAAGCACCTTTGAAAGAATGGCAAATCTGAGCACACCGACTGACACGCAGAGAGTCTAGATCGCAAACTGATTCGCCGAGTATCTAAGGGAGTTCATTCTGGAGGACGTTTCAGTGCCTTTGACGCAAGAGCCCTGTTTTACGGGCACTTACATGCGACACTTAATTGAAAGAAATATATGTTTCGAGGTGCCTCGATAAGACAGGTATACGTCACTAAAAGCACTTTACACCTCTCCCCCCTCCCCAAGCATTTATTTTTATGAATATGGTTGGGGAATATTTTGGGGCGGCGATACTTATTCTGACTGTCGTGATATGACGCTTTTATTTCAGAACAACTTGCCAAACCATAAAAACTTTTTTGGAATCGCTCCCAATTCAAGATGAGTTTCAGAGCGCATATAACTTGCTAACATATGTTTAGTTCGGCGATTCTTAGTTGATTTTTGTGACACACTTTTCTCGACTTACTTAAATAAAAAGTTTTAGAGATTTCAGTGTTTATATAGCGATTCCGACGCATGGTTCAATTTTGGCTCGACGTGCTGAGATACCAGGATCACTGCTTATGGAAAATCTGTTTCGCGACGTAAATATTGCGGGAAATGTTTTTCATTCCGGGGAAACTTAATTTAAATGTAATCGTGTCTCATCCAGGTACCTACACACAATGAGAACTGCTTTTAGTTTGCGGTTTCTTTAAGAAGGCGCTTAGAATGTACTATTTTAAAGAATTGGCTAACCAGCTCGCGATCACGGCTCTGCGCATGCCCATCGGCATATGCTGGTTTGCCAGTCCTTTAAAAGAGCGGTGCAATCATTTTTGTACTTTGCGCGAATACCGTTTAGAACGAATCCCTGACTTTAATAACTTATGATATACGCTTTCGTTTTTCGCCACACGCATTAAAAATCGCGAAAAAAACAACAAACGAGCGGAGTTTATTTTGTTAGCTCGCAGGCAGAACAAGCAGCCACCTGATTTGAAGCCGATTATATGCCGCCAATGTTGATCGTGGGAACGCGGCGAGGTTGGCAAAACACAGGCCACGCGCTGAGTTCCAGACATTGTTGGAGTTCGGCTATTGTTGTCGTTGCAGCGATTGGATATGGGCCACTATTCGAATGCTTGTCCAGCTATTAATTATCACGAGTCCAATTCGAGTGCTCACGCAGTGCTTGGGTTCAATCTATGAGCCGCGTTCAGATATCGTCACTGGGTACTATGCCGACACTGCGACCCTCAGGCTACGTCATCGAGTTTTGGAAGGAGAGACTGAAAAGAAACGCTCGCTTTTATCCTTAAAATTACTCTGCCACAAAAAAAGTTTTATTTTTCAATGGTGTCGTGTGCGAGTATGCTTACTCCCACTAATGGCACTAAACTCGTACGTTTGAAGTGAAAAACATTCCAACTGAATATTGTTGCACCGCCCCTTGAAAGCAATCCAGTCCGAAGGCCTTTTAGGCACCCGTGATACAGATACGTAACATTGCCCATAGAACTCTTCACTAACACCGTGTTTCTGATGTCCCTTTCACAGGCACGGTGGCGAGCGTGCAGGAGTTCGAGGTGACGCCAAGCGACACAGAGGTGAACCCGGGCAACGCTGTGACGCTGAGGTGCAAAGTGCGGAACCGTCGCGGCGAGTGCGTCTGGCTCAAGAACGGCTACGCGCTGGGCCGCATCCCGGACAAGTACGACTTCGAGCGGGAGCCGCAGGACGGCGACTGCTCAGTGCAGATCCGCAAGACGACGCTTGAGGAGGACGACGGCTCGTGGCAGTGCCAGGTGACAAGGGCATCGCTGCAGGACGCGCCCCTCAACTCCAACGAGGTCAAGCTCGTCGTGCGAGGTAACCGCGTCCCTCATTCGGAAATTTCGTAGTGGCCAGATTTACACCGATGGGGAGAATAGTGAGTAGGGAATAATGGCAGTATAATACCTTGAGGGGATCTCCTCAAGTTGGAGAAGGTATACAAAAGAGTACAGTTACTTTCATCTGCAATGGAGCGCAACCCGTGCAATCTGGACGACTGGTTGCCATTGAACCAATCTGTCTGGTTCTCGATTGGGTTCGAGGGACTTGCCAAGCCTAGCTCAGTGCTTTTCCAACTGAGCTAACCATTGGCTAACCGCCAGTAGAGCAAACAAACAATAGTTGCCACCAATCTTCAAATCAAATCAAATCAAAATGCTCTATTTTTCTCCATTTGGAGAGGGAAGACAGAGAAAAAAGCAACATAACAGTTGCGTGACAGGTCTCCATCTCCCCTCAGCAGCAGCTGAGACAGCACACAAAACAGTTAACAAAAAAAGAAATGTTTTATGTAGTTATTCGTTTGATATAAAACAAAAGCAAAACAAAAATGAAAAATCGCCTCACGTCATTCACCTACACTGACACTGAAAGCTCAACAAATTTCCGTCTGATTTACCCTTGCGATGTAACCATCGCAAGGGTAAATCAGATGGAAATGAGTACATAGAATGACTTCAGGCAAATTTTTGCACAGGCACCAGTCTCCTAAAATGCGCGAGTTAGGCCCCATTTCAGCTGCAAGTAAATTAATATTTCGTTTAAGTCAGTGAATGCTAGGCAAAGTGTGCACGATCGCCCCAATAATCCCACCTCAAGATAATACGCCATCTTGCTCCACGGATGTCACGTGACCGTGTGACGTCACACTGGTCGACCAATAACCGCCACGAACGTCACGTGACCCCGTGACATCCATAGGTCAACCAATGGCCGTCATCACTTCTTAATCGATTATCGATTACGTTCTAAATAGCTATTGATTGATTATTGAGGTGGCAGTGTACACTTCTTGTACTACTATGGTGTTCGAGGACATCAAGAGAATCCATCGCATAATTTTAAAGTGCAACGTTCTTTGGCTAGGTGTTCGGCATTTCGTGAATCCCAGAAGTGAAGCCTGAATAAGAGCATGGCCGCGAGGCTCGACACTGATTGGTTGACGTGTGGGAGAGGAGGATTGATGTGCTCGACGCTGACTGGTTAACGGGGTTCTCATGTGGCCAGGGTCGGACTGAGGAGGAGACATAGGCGAGCAGGCGAGGTGTGGAAGAAGGAGTGGGTTAGGAAGTTCTGGATTATCACCAGGCTTATAATTTCAAGTGTACACATGCCACGCGTTAAGTTATCTGATGAAGAGCGCCGTGAACGTAGGCGTCTTATAATCAGGCTAGACGTGCTGCTAAACGATTACATAGGTTTGTGAGGCTAGAACGTTTCACGTATACTAGAGAATGGCCTAGCAATTTTCCTTGTATTTTAATTAATAATTATAATACTAATAATTTTATTCAACTCTGAAGGGGTTTAAGCAGCACAGAAAGGCCGTTAGCCCGTACGTGAGGTTTGTGGCGCCGCACTACTACAAACTCTGCATGTTCGAAACCCAAAAGAAAAACACAGAAAACCAGTATATACAAGAGAAATAAGGGGAAACAGGACGTGGTGTTCATTGTCCCTGAAGGAAGCGTGATGCCTCTTTGCACCAAGCTGTGAGGTCTTTTTGCCTAGGGGCGGACACTCCGTCATGTCCTCCGGTAGTGAGCGCCAGAGCGCCGCAATTCTCATTAGGGAAGAGTTCCTAGGCCGCTCGGTACGCTCGAATAGTGGCTGTAGGCCACCGGACCTGGTATGGCGAACATGCAACAGTAGCGGGAGCTCGGAGTCCCTCGGAAGGAGGCACTTCGCTAGGAGCCGCAGCGATGCTACTCCAACCCCTCCATTTGTAAAAGTTCTTGCGTGGGCAGGTCACGGTAGCGTGGGAGACAAAAAGAGGCCTGCCGCCTTAGAACCGCATAAGCAACTCGTCGCGGCACACTTTCGTGGGAAGCTGATAACAAGAGGTGATAGACCTCAGCACAGTGCTCCAGGTGTGGGAGCCCCGCGCCGGCTCCGCGGGTGAGTCAGGATGCTGGCATTTCTGCCCCAACACCGCCCCGATACAGGGGTATAGTAGGAGACGCGTTCATAAAATAACATGCCATTCAGGAAGTTTTCTTGCAACCAAACACTCTAAGCGATGCTCGTGCTCTCGATTCTCTCGAACATAACTCACGCAGTCCATCAATACAATTGACGTGGGGAACCGGGCGTATTACAAGGACTGAATACAAGCTTAGAACTAAAAATTAAGTCTGCGTTGTGACTCGGGGTACGTTAAAAGTTATTCTGACTTACTTCACTAAAGCAGATAATTTGCCGATTACCCTCAACTAGCATTCCTTCTTCGTGCGTTTTATCCGATACAAAGATGAGAGTTCAGTCAAAACTGTGTAATATTCTCTTCTTTGTGGTTCGTCATTGTGTTATATATGTCATCCGGGTTTTCAGTCCCTTGCCTCTTTCTCAAACTCTGATTTCTTCGGCCAGAAGCGACTTGTTCAAGTTTGGACGCTTTTTTTTTTTTTTTTGCTGTTTTATTATCACAGTTGACTGCGCTCTTGAGTAGTGGTGTAGAGCTTAAACTTGTGATACTAATCGACGCGTTAAAATCAAGGAGAAGCCTTTCGCGTAGAAAGTACTCTTTCCCTTCAGTTAAATTTCTGCAGGAAACCACGTTTTTAGGTGATGTTGCCGACTGGTCAATAAACAGCCCAAGCACATTTTGAAACATCTTAGAGCTTCTTAATATGATGTAAACTTGTACACAATAGCCTATTTTGTTTGTTTCATGTGCATGAAATTTAGAAATTAATCCCGTTTCCCAGTGTCTCTGAAAGTTTACTTTCCCTCAAGTAAGGTTCTCTTGCAGGAAAGCGCGCTTTCCGGTAATCGCGACTTGCGAGCACAACAAACGAACGGCCCAAGCACATTTTGAAAGATCGTAGGCCTCCTTAATGTGATTTATGTTAGCAGTAGCCTTTATATATATATATATATATACGCTTCAAGTTAGAGAAAAGCAAAAAAAATGTTGCAATTTTACAAGCTAATCTTGTGCAAATTAAAGTTTTGAAACAAGTGGATTCTTCCCCTCCCTATTTGTTCATAGAATTCAAGCAATGACAACGCGATAGTGTAGCGTATGAGCAACCGTATCGGTGCTACATAACTATATTATTACTTTGGGGGCTTTACGATGATATAAACATTTCCTAAATCAAGCCTTACAAATAAGCTGCTGTTTTGTTTTAAATTATTGCTGTAAAGCTTTACAGGGTATCCAACAAAGAGTCACTTCGATACATGGCTTGCATAGGACTTCATTGCATCATCTTGGTGGTCAGTAGTTCTTATTTTTCCTGAGAAAAACATTTCGGCGGTGTGAGACGTATGCACCGAAAAGTGCACGCAAAGCGGAAAAACCACCATCATGGCCGCTGATGGGACGTCAGGACAAGTGATGTATTTGTAAAGCGAGTATTGCTGGGCTCAGATGTAACCAACGACCGCAATCATGGTAGTAAATCGCGAAGGTATCTGGACGCTTTGGGAAGAAGTGTAAAATGAATCCACTGAAACGTTTTGGATCGGTGGCCGAGTATGTTAAGCTATCGCAGACTGGAACACCTGGAGCGAAGGCTCGCGCCAGAGAACCCATAGATCCTGGGATCGATCTCCACCCCTACTAGTCTTAATCTAGATGACCATTGCACCGGCCTGCCAGCCTGTATCACTACTGCGTGGTGCACATTAGGAACACCAGGCTGTCAGTAGTACTGCACACGCCAAATTTCTCGTCTTCAGCGAAGACACCAGTGCCGGCTTGCTCGAATCAGCATCTTAGATTAGATTGTGAAAGTAATCTTGTCAAGTTTGGGCGCCCGAGCGCTTGAGACTGGACTTCACGTGTCGCTCCATCGCTCGTGCGATATCTCTGACAATGCTCTCTTTCACACAATCTTAGCTGAGACGCCAATTCTTGTGAGCTTGCCCAGGCACCTAATGCGGCAGACTAACTTATCTCTGTCTAGACATAAAGACCACGCATTTCTACGAAAATCTCCCATCACCGTATTTTTCTGTGTTCTTCCCGCAGAGCAACCGCACCCTCCCCGGCTGGAAGAAGGCACGAACCCTCTGCCTCCCGGCGGCCACTTCAAGACGAAGGCCGGCGACCCTCGGAGGTTCCAGTGCGTGTCTCGCAAGGGGAACCCGCCCGCGTCGCTGCGCTGGTACCTGGACTCGCAGGACGTGTCCCACCTGGCCAACCAGACCAACCAGACGGACGTGGAGAAGCGCGGCACCTGGCAGGCCCTGTCCGTGTTCGACTACACCTTCGTCAAGGCGGACAACCGCAGGGAGCTCAAGTGCGTCGCCTACCACGGCGCTTACGAGGAGGGACCTGGTACAGGAGGCCCGGGACATCGGGACGTGGCCGTCACGCTGGACGTCATGTGTGAGTGGCAGGCTTTATCACGTGTATTATTTAGACAATATTATGAGGCAATCAACATTTTGCAAAGGAGCTGGACGCTAAAGGTGTGACTCCCCTAGATACAACAGATAAATAAAAACCACCCACAGGAAAACAACTGATACCGCACAATAAAAAACAACAACATAATAGTAGTCACAAAGATGTGGCAGGTCTTCAACAAATTTAGTGTCAAGACTCTTTTTTGAAAGTGTTAAGTAACAGACATTTAAAGCACGAGGAAACAAAGCAATAATACCGCAATACAATAGCGGGGAATATACGATACCGTAAACAACATTATACTAGATCAAGGGTCACCAAACGTCTTGTCTAAGGCTCAGGATTGGGAGTATGTCGCTGTCTCGAGGGTCGGAAAATAAATAAGATAATATAAATGTTCAAATACTAACTAGATAAACTTAAATATGCATATCAATACTGGAATTTCATTTGAAGGGAATCTTTACAGAATATAAACAGCATCAATACATATCCTTTATTTTTAAATTAAATATTTTGCTAATTATGACATTACAAAATATTTGTGACGCAGAAATCTCGCAAGGCATGCATGGAAGCGCATATATGTTTTACCATGTTAACACAATGTAGACGACTAATGAGAATGGTAGAACTGACGACGACATTATGCAATAGTTATGGCACTGTAACGGTTGAGACACGTTTTACTCGCAAGACACCATCGTGCCCGAGCCAAGTGCGCGTTCCGCCCCTTCTTCTTTTTCCTCGTTCTGCACCAGCAACTGGCGGGCCGTCTACTCTACATCCTAACAAAACGCCTCTCCTTGAGATGTGAATATAACAATGTGTAAAGATCAGTTCCCTTGGTAGGCCACTAGCTGATCTGCATGGGCAATGCCCGCCGGCCGTCCACTCTCACTGTCCTTAGGGTGGTAATCATTGCAGCCGATTCTCCACACCGTCATCTATGGTCTCATCCTTCGCGCTACTGGCTTCACTGCGATTCCTCTGCTGGCATAACTCAGAGTATGAAGATCACACAACACCAAATCGCCGACATAGTGCTCCACAGGCATCCTCTTCTTGTCATAATATTTACGCTGGAACGCTTTTGCTTTCCTTTGAGGCTTCAGTGCGACGGCATGTGCCTCTTGCAACCTTGGAGTCAAGTCAGTTACTAATTCTAGAGAATAATTGCACAAGGTTGTTTCAATTTGCTTATTGCGGGATTCTCCTGGCTTCCGGAGCTCTCGTCCATAGCACATGAGCGCTGGAGTATACCTCGTTGTGACGCTTCCGCAGGCCCGCATTTTAAATGATATATCTGGAACTCTGAGGTCCCAGTCCTTGTGCTCATAGAAGTAAGTAATGAGACACTGCTTCGGAGTGGAATTCTGGCGTTCAACCAGGTGTCCCGTCGGTCGATGTGGTATTGTATGTCTGTCCTTGATTCCAGGATATTTCAGGACTGCCTTCCACAAGTTGCTGTCGAAGACTTTGCCGTTGTCACTTGAATTACTCTTCAGGAACATATAGCGGCAAAAAATTATCAGCATCCATTCTAAGATAACTTTGCTTGTGGTAACGCGGAGAGCAGACAGTTCTACAAACTTGGCGAATTTATTTACTACCACCAGAAGGTGTCTGCTTTGTTGAGATGTACTTGGAAGCGGCCTTTCAGGTCAACACTAAGCTAAGTCATCGGATACACGGCCCGTGTGCTGTCCATGATGCTCTTCGGCTTCTATCGGCGTGGCTTGAGCATCTGGCAAGACTTGCAAGAACATATATATCGCGATACGTCAGACCGCATGCCAAGCCAGATGTAACGCTGCTGGATCCGCTTCAACGTCTTACAATAGCCAGTGTGACCACTGAGAGGATGTTCGTGGTACAGTGGAAAGGCTGTCTGACACAACTGGAGGGGGATCCAGACAACCTGTCTTTCTCCAGAAATCTGGCCCAGAATTCCTTCCTGTTGTAAATCACTGTCCTCGGGCAAGCTCCGGACCTGACGAGCCTGAAAGGGGCTCGAAGGTAAGATTCCACGTTCCATCAATGCTATCATCCTGGCCAGTTTTTGTTCTTGCCTTTGCTTCTTGGCCAGTTGAGCATCATCGTTTAGGGCTGTCAAATCCAGCTCTTGTACGAGAACCGCTTCTTCAAAACGTACATAGTGTTCAGGCTCCGGAGCTTCAATTGGGAACCACTCCTCTGTCTCTTTTGTTGACTCAGGCGGACATGCTGTGGACTCGCGCTACTCAGACCATCTGCTCAATGCGTCTGCAGGGCTGATTGCTCGTTTTCGTCGATGTTTAACAACGCAGTTGAAAACTTAGTCTTAAAACTCAGCGGTGCACGCGGCTTGAGGGTTGCTCTGTTGTGAACATCCACTTTAAGGAGGCATGGTCGGTGTGAATATCAAAATTAGTGAAGCCTAAACTTGTCAATGGCCCACAGGATTGCCAGGTACTCCCATTCCTGCACGGTGTAGTGTCTTTCTGCTTCCTTGAGGGTCTTGCTGATAAATGAAACCGGCCTAAGTTGACCATATTGGTCCTGCAGGACTGCAGTCAGGCCCGCGGCACTTGCATCGGTCTCGAAAACAAACGGTGTGTTGAGGTCCGGTAGCGCTAGTACCACATTATCCGCAAGATCTCGTAGATTGTTGAAAGCTGTTTGCTGCTAGCTTTCCCATGTCCATCTAACGTCCTTCCGCAGCAGGAATGTAAGGGGTCTTGCTACTTCTGAAATTCTAGCAATATTTCGATAATATCCTGCTATACCCAATAATGATTGCAGCTTTTTTACTGTCCGGGAGGTGGGAAAGTCTCTTACTGCAGCAACCTTCTCTGGATCTGGGCGACATTTCCTCAAAGAAATTATATGTTCTAAACACTTCATCGACTGCGTGCACAGTTGGATCTTGCTGGGATTGATTGTGAGAAGAGCCTGCTCAATCCTGTGCAGCACTTCCTCAGTGTGGCCCAGGTTGTGTTCCAGGGTGCTGGTGTAAATTAACACATCATCTAGAATAGCCATGCAGAATTTGTGCTCGATGTTTCCCAACACCTTGTCCACCAGAGCTTGGAGAGTGGCTGGTCCGCCAGCTACCCCAAAGGGCATTCTCTTAAGCTCGAACGTGTCCCGGTGACATAGAAATGCCGTCTTGGGTACGTCCTCGTTGTGTACTGCAATTTGAAGAAAGCCCTGAGACAAAACAAAACTTGTGAACCACCTTGCTCTTCTCAGCTCGGCTAACACGCAGTCATTAGCATCGGGTAGACGGGCACAGTTTTTTTTAGGATTTAGAGGGCGGCCGACATCTAGTCTATTACCTCCACTGTTTTTGGCCACTAATACGGGCGCACAGGACCAGTGGCTCTGACTTGGTTGGATTAGGTCTTGTCGTAGTAGGTCTTCATTTCAGTTGTCTATGATTTGCCGTTTTTGAGCGTTGACTGGGCGAAGTCTGCAACAGGTTGGAGAGGACTGCCCAGTATTTATGGAATGCTTCTCTAATCCGATGCAGCCTGGACGTTTGTGAAAAATGGTGCAAAATCGTCCCAGCAGAGCCACAACATTGAATGCTTGGCATCACGAACCTCAGGCTTGTCTTCCCGCCAGTACTGGGCATCTGTAGCTTTTCCTTCCTCCGTATCCTTGTCCTCTTCGCTCTCGGCAAACAGACCTTCCAAACTGTACGCCTCTTCACACGTAGGTGGAATGACATCTTTTCTCTGGCTTCCGCCCTTGGTCAAAGGGATAAGCCTCTGAAGGGTGTCTACCAATTTGGAAAACCGGCCATTATCAGGGATTTTGAATAGCCTGGAAAACTCAGGGAATTTGTGCATCTATCAGGGATTTTTTTTTAAAGTGTTACAGATTTAGAAGTGCCACAGATTGACTCTCACAGTCCAGAATTTTTCAGATATCAATGGAATGGGCCAAACGCAAAATTGAGATTTCTTCGTGAAATCGAGCAAGAACTCTGCGATTCCAATGACGGCCGACAGATTCTTGAAGTGGGAAGCTGTGGCCTTCATATTGTGAACGGTGCATTCAAACCCAGGCATGCGGCAACAGGGTAGCAACTCGTAGAATTTCTCCGGGCTATGTGCAGTTTATTCAAATGCGTACCCGCCCGACGTGCTGAATACGCGCGCATCACCGAGAGCAACATCTACCCTTTGAAGTTTTGTGCTGTGCGGTGGCTTGAAAACGTGCGTTTAATTTTGAGGGCTCTTGAGGTTCTGCCGTACCTAAAGGTGTACGTTGAGTCGTGTCGAACGAGAACAGGCGACCGACTAGCGCCAGTTACGGCGTGGTTGAAACAGCCATCCATGATCATCTGCCGCCTCCGAAGCTAACCTTCATGCTTAGTGTCGCGGAGGAACTGCAGCCGTTCCTGGCTCAGGTCCAGAGTGATTCGCCAATGTTTCCATATCTCGGAACAGCGTTGGAAAATCTTCTGCGATCTTTTATGGGTAAAATATTAAAGAAAGAAGTGATGATGGCCGCGGACAGTCCGCTGAAGTTTATAAAGGTGGACATGGAGCAACCAGCAAATGGTCTTGCAAAACCCAAGATTGACCTTTGCTTTGCGACAAGGAATGCACTCCGAAAGGCCTCGAAACTGTCAAATGTGACTATCCTTGCATTCAGAAGGCACTGCTCCACTTTTCTGAAAAACTGCGCGAAAAATATTGCGGAAAGGTTGCCACTGAAGTTTAAACTGGCGAGGGGATCGGCGTGTCTGGATCCTGCCTGCGCGCTGATTTCTGAACTCGGCGAAAGGTGTTTAAGTGATGCACTCGAAGTTTTAACAGAACACCAGTGGATGATTGGAGCGGAAGCAGATCTTGCTTTCAGGTCGTACAAGCATGTGTGCTCTTTAGCCTCTACGCAGGCAGCACTGAAAAGTTTTGACAGAAGCACGCATCGGCTGGGCGCCCTTTGGGCAGGCTTCTGTGGTTCAAACAAGGACCTATTCACTT